AAGTGTGTGTGAGCTACCAGATACGCCAAATCAACGATCAAATGCATTGTTTACAAAAACTGATACGTCCCTTTGAAAAAGTTATCGAGATTTAGTGATATATCATTCGGTGTAGGTTCTCATTGCCTCCCTGGAGCCCGATTCTTCGAGTTCGGATGGCACACTTTCGGCGTGTAGTTCTATTGAGAGATTCGTCACCGTGGGCGATTTTGAACCCGGTCCGGTTGGTGAATTAGCCCGGGAACGTGTTGTTAATGTGTCCGTCGCGAGTTTTGGTGGTGATTCCGTGAATCAGCAAGTATTCCACATGCAATAGTGCTCGGCTGCTGGTCTATCACCGGTTCCGGAGATTGCGAGCAATATGAAAGATGCCTCGCTGGATACGCCCAAGACTGGACGGGTGGTAGCTGGTGGCCGCGAACGGTTCCTGGGGAAAGCACTAAACGCAGACCACCTCCCAGATGACCATGGCAATGCAAGAAAATTGGCGTTCGTTGAAGGAAGTATTATGACAAAGGTGCATCACGAAATCAGTTGCAAAGCTTAGAGAAAATCAAAACTACGGAACGCATGGATTGGAGGATCAAGTGAACATGGTGAGACCAGCCCAAATACATTTTACAATTTAAAAAAATAAACTAAATATGTGCCTGGTTTGAAAATAATATTTTCGAACCTGGAAGCGTGTATGTAATACCAATATCCATTTGATAACGGTGATGCATACATGTGGGGCTTATTGTAAGTGAAAGTAACCTCGGAATGGGCGTGACTCTCCAGACCAGTGTTGACAAAATCAGAAATCAATTGATATTTTTCCGCTCTCATGCGCTCGCAATATCACGCGTGATATTGGAACAAAATATCATGCCTGATATTGATTTTACAAGCTCCTTTGATATTGCGAGACTATTCACAACGTTCAAAAATCAAGCTGAGATGACTCGACACAAAAATGATTCAATTGCACATCGTTTTCTTAGAAAGAGAAAGCATAGCTTGCTATTGAATCGGAATTCCCATTGAATAACATAGCTAGAAACGACAGTTTGCCAGAACTTACTTTACGCAAGATTTCAATACCGCCTTCTGTATTATTGTACAATTGTAAGAAAAGAATCGTCAAACTGCTTGGCTCTCAATGACCGGGACGGGACTTGACAATCGAGCTTCTCACTATTCTTAATTTTTTGGATGAATTCCCTTCTTGGGGCCTCCCTTAGCTCAGTCGGTAAAGGCGCAGCTACAAAGCAAGACCATGCTGGAAGTGGCTGGGTTCGATTCCCGGTCCAGTCTAGGAATTTTTCGGGTTGGAAAATTTCTCGACTTCCCTGGGCATAGAAGTATGATTGGACTTGCCACACAATTATACCAATGCAAAAATGGTACAGGCATCGAAAAGCTCTCAATTAATAACTGTGGAAGTGCATCTAGAACACTAAGTTGAGATCACGCAATAAGCTGATATGCGATATGCAATAAGCTTGAAATGCGAAGAAGAAGAAAAAGAATGAATTCTCTTCGGGAAATTGTGCGTGGTGTTTGACGGAGTAAACCAATGATGCCAGGAATGTTAATTTTTTTTTCTATTTTAATTTGGATTTTATTCGGAGTTTCTACCGCCGCTTAACAACTTGTACATCATTTTTGCTTAACACAATAAAAACAACCATAAACAAACAACAATATCTATCGCTTAAAACACGCAGTGCACTCAATTTTTCAAGTTTCCTTTCGCAAATATAAACAATTAACAACGCCATTGACGTCAACATTGTTTTCGGCATCACTGCCAGCCAGATTGATGCGATCCCTCTGTCCTTTTTATTCCACGATTGCTATTGTCAAATCGATCAATCAGAAACTGGCTCGGATTTGACAGCAAATTGGCTCGAAATCGCTACCCGATTGTCAAGTCCCGTCCCAGCCCCATGACAGTTCCTGACAGCTTGTGTCTGGCTCCTTTCGACGTTAATATTTTTCGAGTCTGGGTCTCCCTTCCAGAGCTAAACCATGCCATCTCGATTGCCAAGTTGCATATAGGCCTATTCTGTGCGGCGTGTGAGGTGAGGTGAAGTTAAAATTGTCACCTCGGGTGAGGTGACTCTCCATTTGATTTGCATGGAGAGTCACCTCATCCGAGGTGACAGTTGTCACTTCACTATCACTTCTCTATTACCTCACCTCACACGCCACGCAGAATAGGCCTAATAGACTTGGAGTAAGCGGCATCCTCTTGCGATGGTTTCGTTCATATCTCACTGATCGACAACTGATGGTTGCAATTGGTGACAACCGGTCCGATATATATCTAGCTACGTCAGGAATTCAAAGATAAAAGTTCCGAATTTTAATAGTGATGTAAACATTCATTCACGTAAACTTGTAGTTTATTTCACGCAACCGAGCAACTTGTAAACAATGTTGTTTACAACAATGGGATTTTGTGTACAATATTTGCTACATTGCATGAAATGTCTCAGAACTTTACATGATATATAATGTAAGCTTATGTGATATGTGACGCTCCATTTATGTGGGTGGTCAAGAAATGTGGTGTTTTTATGTCAATCGTGTTTCTAGAATTATATCTATGAAAGTCACTTCCTCTTTCATATTCGGTCACACAAATATCGAGGCAGCAGTCCGTTAACTACTTTAAAAATGAACACCATAGTCAAATATACAATCCTTTGCTTCACTGACAACCATTGTAAAGCGTCCAGCATCAAAGTTGAGGAAGTGAGTCGTTGGAATACCTGACCTGGTCACTCCTGTTATTTTTCGCTGTCATTCCAATTCAAGAGCTCGATGTGAGCAATTCAAGTTTGCTTTAATAAAACATTCTTTTGTTCGTTAAGTCTCGGCCTGTTCATTATTGCCCCGTCCTTACCACGTAGTTCCTTCAGAAATGAATAGTTTCGTGTCATTTTCCATACATTTACTCATACAAAAATTAATGGAAAATCGAGTCCACATCTGTCAAATTTGGGAGTGTTTTTACTTGCGTTCCCGTGAAGTTCAGTTTTTTTGGGAGGAAAACCGCTCATTTCCTGCCGTTTTCTAGATTTGTGTTAACCCGGATGTTCCCTTGATTGTGTTTTGACCAATTCTCGCAACGATCGACCGCTCCGTGTGCAGTTTTTACGGATGTGTGTTTAGCTAGCGATTTTATCGAAAGAGGGTGAGTGTGCGAAGTGGGGGAGCTAGAGGAACCCTACAAAAAATCCGCAAGAGGATCCGTTTTTACGACGATTTCATCAACGGGGACAAATGCCACAGCTGGACCGGGACAGTGAAGGCAACAACAAAATGACGATGAATGACGACGGGAATGTCTCGGCCAACAACAATTCACTTTCGACAAATGCAACAACAAATTGAACTAACGGAGGAGGAGAAGGATGAACAGCAGCAGCAGCAGTCATTGGAGCTGGCGTTAACAACAATGGCAGTATACTGAACAATCTGGATAGAAGGCCGGCGAACAACAACGGTAGCAATGGAACATTCCGAAATCGAACGAGATCGAAACGCTCCCCCAACTGAAGGACGCCCCGCCGAATGAAAGAGAAGAGCTGTTCGTTCAAAATCTCCGCCAGTGTAGTGTATTGTTTGATTTTTCCGAATCACTGAACGACCTGAAGAACAAGGAAATTAAACGTTGCGCTCTGCAGGAAATGGTCGAGTACCTGAGCACCCAACAGCAGGTGATTACGGAACCAATCTATCCGGAAGTTGTTCAAATGGTTGCGGTAAACCTTTTCCGGACCTTGCCGCTTTCGTCCAATCCGAACGGTGCTGAATTCGACCCGGAAGAGGATGAACCTACGCTAGAAGCTAGCTGGCCCCATCTCCAGTTTGTGTATGAACTTTTTTCGAGAGCGCTCGGTGGAACAGCGACTTTGGACGTGAGCCTCGTCCCAGATTACCATGGCAATTTATTTCAATTCAATGAAACTGACCAAAAAAGGCGGAATCATATTAGAACCAATCAAGGACGATCTACGGAAGGAAATTGCCGGTGAAGCACGGAATGAAATACGAACCGTTAGAGAAAAAGTCCAAGGGATTCCAAAAGAAGTAATCAACGACGGCGGAAAAGCAGAATATGGTGAGAGCTTTCCAATTATTAAAAAAAAATATATATCAAAATTAAACTAAATACATGCCAGGTTTGAAAAAAAATATATTTTCGAACCTGTAAGCATGTATGTACACAGCAAAAAAATAATTTTGATATCACATCAAAGTGGATGCACTACAGTCATGTCGAAAATTTCATGTAATTTTTATGACCACATAAATAAACAAATGCAGTAAAAGCAGCGTAAAGTCAGTTCATGCATTGTATTAATGATAATTTTGTCCTTTTTAGCAAGTAATATTACATCATATTTTCGACATGATTGTAGTGCATCCACTTTGACGTGATATCAAAATTATTTTTTTGCTGTGTAAGACCAATATCCATTTGATATCGGTGATGCATACATGCGAGGCTTATTGTAAGTGAAAGTAACCTCGGAATGGGCGTGACTCTCGAGACATTCTGAAATGGGTTGCTGGATCTGCAATAGAGCTATCACCTTCTAACTCCCGGACTAAAGCTGTCTACAATGACCATAAATGCGACATTGTAAAGAGAGTTCTTCCATAATAACACTGCCGGCCAGTGGGGGTTAGATTGAACACACACACACACACACAGCATCAAAGTTGAGGAAGTGAATCTATTACAATCTCAATATCAAACGCATTATTTTATTCTACAAGCGCTGTAACCTCGATATTTGTGTTTCATTGGCATTTGAGGCGATAAATTAATTAATTAATTGTTTCATTGCCAGAAATAAAATGGAAGGACAAAAATCTAGATGAGGTCTAGGTCAAATCTAAATTATCTTCTGGAAGCGTGAAATCTGTTGTTAACCGATGGAAGTTTTGAGATTTCGTTTTCACTAAATACCTTTGTGTGTTTTCTTTTATTTCAATTTCAGATCCTCCCGAGATATCCGTCGAAAATCCGATTGTGTACTCTGGCGAAAGTCAGGAAGCCATGCTAGTATGCATCGTACACGGGGAATCGCAACCGGAAGTAAGTATTCTGTCACAGACTAGCATCGAACCATGTCCCATGCAATCCTTATGGGCAGTGGTACATTTATGCGAATAATTTAAACACCAAAACCTAGGGCATATTTTGAACCACTTAACACACGCAGGGCCTTCGGTAAAGGCGCAGCTACAAAGCAAGACTATGCTGGAGGTGGCTGGGTTCAATTGTCAGTCAGGTCTAGGAATTTTCGGGTTGAAAAATTTCTCGACAATTATATTGATACAATTATATTGATGCAAAAATGATACAGGCATCGAAAGCTCTCAATTAATAACTGTGGAAGTGTGTTTAGAACACTACTAACAGAAGATTATACAAATTTAACAATAGTATAATGCTGCAAAAGATGAGCTCCATGCTTTAATTCAAGAGCAACCTGTGCCAAATGTAAACGATGACTACAAACGTCGATTTCTTGTGGAATATGAACCATTCTGGTAGAAAAAAAACAGTAGTATCTGATATGATTACGTGGCTTTGTTGTGGATCGTTACAAATCAACGTTTAAAGTAATGTTGTTTTACAATAATGGTTGTTCGGGATGTTTACTAGAGATTTTTACGCGATATCTCTCTCATCTAATATCATAAATTCACGTCGTTGAAGCGACTGAGCCCATTCCAACCGGGCTACGATTAAGTCGACTGTTTACAAATTATCACCTCTCATGCGATAAAATTCAAATTTATACATCATTCTCCTTCCATCTTTCCCTCATCAGGTGGTGTGGCACAAGGACACCATGCAGATCGACCAAACCGAACGGCACGTGATAGAAAGCCGCGGTGCCCGGCACACGCTCATCATCCGGAAGGTGCACTCGCAGGACTTTGGCAACTACAGCTGCATAGCGGACAATCAGCTGGGCAAGACGCGGAAAACGGTCACCCTGACCGGTAAACCCAAGGCGGCCGTCTTCCGCTCGATGCCCAACAGCCAGTGGAAGGATCGGTACAACATCTCCTGGATCGTGGATTCCCATTCGCCGATAGAGGAGTACAAACTGTACTACCGGTTGGTGGACGGAGACGTTCTCCAGGCGCACGACGGCATCTTCATGGACGAACGGAAGTCTCATCATCCGTACTTGGGCGGAAATGTGAGTATCGTTTCGTTTTTTATCGTTTCACATGTCGAATAAATCCAACCAATTTGTCAAATCCTAATTAACGAACAAGGATTTGCCGGAGAAAAAGCCCCTATTGTCATACGTTGGTGAGCAGCTATTCCGAGCATCACTCGATTCCACAAATTACCCTTCTGGATTCGACATTAAAAACCGTTGGAATGAAGGATGACATCGTACCGAGCAAGTCGTTCTCGTGCCAAGCTCCGAGGTCTCTTGTCCGACCAAACGGTGCACGGCAAAGCTTCTAGTTCTTGTCTGTGTCACCCACCGTCCAATGCACCGACATGTGAAACGTAATTTCCTTAATCCAGAAAAACCTGGCCTGTCATAATAACGCAAAATTAATTCAATCTCTTCTCTACTACCTCTGTTTTTTGCTCCCATGCTAACTCTCTCACAATGTGCATGCCGAACGAAACCGGCACTATTCTACGACCACCTGCCTCAACCACCCACGCAATACTCGGGCTCGTTATGACCGCACAACGAACATTACACGTTCCCATGGTCGATCCCTGTGTCGCTCATCGTGCCAACGATGACGATGATGACGTTGGACCCGGACCCGGGGACGGGGAGCAGATGCTGGACTACGACCGGAAGATAGCCGCGTTCGAGCCTTACTCGTACAACAACGCGTACAACGGCCACGGCATGCACCGGGGCACGAGATGGTCCAAGACGGACTGGCGGGACGTGGTGCTACCGGCCTTTCCCTACTCGCACCACTACACCCAAGGTATGAGCTACCTGCTGCGTGGTCTTGATCCGGATCAGCAGTACGAGGCCCGAGTGCAATCGAGGTAATTATCGATGGGGCAGGCGGGAGGGAAGCGAATGGGAAATGGGGTAGGATGGATCAACTTGTTATACGTGGGGAGTTAAGTTGGAAGAAGATATGGGATTGATTTTTTATTGTATTTTCAACTGTTGGATGGGTCTACCGGTTTGAAAGGGTGACCAGATGGATGAGTTTTTGGTGTACAGAAAGATCTGCAGCAAATTATTTGGATATGGACGGTGAGATTAATTAGGGTTTAGGAGATAAATATATCAATAGCATCTTTGTGCTCCTTTCCCTTGATCCCTTTCCTACCTGTTAATGAATTGCAGCCCGTAACCTCGAGTAAGCTACGAGTATTCTGACCCCTCTTGTACTAACTCTAGGGCTAAGAAACATTGCACAATGGTCCCAAAGCCGTATTTAGGAAGACACAAATATTTACTCCCAAACCAACACTTTTAGGAATATGGTATCTTCGGGAAAGTTTCTTTATATTTAAGGCTGCTCTTTTTATGTTTGTGAAATAAGGGTGGTTCATAGAAGTGGGGAATTGAAAATACAAACTTTGTTGTTATTTGAGATCGACCAATGTAATTTTCTAAAAAGTTATTGAACATTCAATTTGAAGCAACTTTGCTGAAGACATTTAAAAAAAATCCTAAATCATCACCACTAAGCTTCCGTTTTTCTGTCATCATGCAAAGTTAATAAACGGAATAATACCTATGCAACACGCGCTAGACAAACGCTTACTGACTACGACAAATCAAGCTGAACATTGCATTAGGCCCTAAGTAACATTGATCGATTCTATTCGTCGACTCTCTCTTTAGTTAATAACTTGAGCACATAACCGTTTCTTGTTGTGTTTCTCGTAGTAGATACTAGATAAAAGCACAAACGAAGTGACAGACGGAGCGGCTCGAAAACTTTAGTGACGAAACTGCTATTGCAATTTTTCAGTGTACCACATGACAACACTACTTCTGGATTGTACTAGCATTTTCACCAAATGTACTGAGTGATGTGAGGGTGAGTGTTAGTGTTTACGATACAATTCAAAATTCACTTAGCTTTCTTATCGTTTGCTCGTTTCCTGGTTCATCGTCTACATGCTCATCTCATGGTTTACACTTCTTCTCGATAAATTTCTTCTTTACTTCTTCTATATATATATTCACCATCTTCATTCTTCATGATCTTCCATATATCTTTTCCACATTATTTTTCGATTTCTCCGTTCCTTCCTTGCGCTTCATTTTTATCTTCATTCATCTTCATCTTGATACTTATTCATGTCTTCTGTAGTACTTTCGTTTTCTGCTTCATCTTCATCCTTTTTCACTCCATCTTCTTCGATTTCCATTCAGCATCTTCTTCATGAACTCATTTGCTTCCAACATTCATCGATAACATTCTTCCGCTGCATCTTCTTCCATTTCTTGTCTGACATCTTCTTCCATTCCTCCGTCAGCTTCACATCTGTCAATTGTGCCCAACGTGCTTCCCATAGCTGACGAAAGACTTGGTTCATGTTCTTGATGGAATCAATCCTTGGTACGGCGACGTTGATTGGTGGACTGTTTCGTGCTTCACTGGCTAGACGGTCTGCTTCTTCGTTACCACGAATTCCGGCATGACCAGGGATCCAACAAAGGTGGATCGGCCGTCCATGTAGTAAGCGCTCGATTTCCTGGATGGACGGGTGCTGCGATCTACCACTCTCTATGGCCGAAAGACAGCTGGCCGAATCAGACAGAATTATAACACATTCGGTTGATGCTCTTGCAGTGATTACGGCCGACTTGATTGCAAAGGCCTCCGCCGAAAACACGCTACATTGTGACGGAAGACCTATTACTTGCTGAATACTGCTACTAAATACACCTGCTCCAACTATGTTCTTGCATTTAGAACCATCCATATAAATAGCCAAAGCACGATTAGACCGGTTAGCCAGCAACTCCTGCACGATGGGACGCACTGTATTCGGGGAATCCCCAGCTTTCACCTGCCGTTTCACATCCCAAACAATATGTGGCTTGGGTTCATACCATTCTCGGTTGGAGAGACGTGTCCGTACAACGATGTTTGGAAGCTCTACATCAATCGTCGCCAGGCGATCGAACGGTCATTCCACAACTAGAAGATCGATATTTCTGGAATCCTTCTCCATCAAACGAATTGCAGCACGAATTATGGCTTGCATAACCATTAAATCGAACGGCAAAGTGCCTGCTTCAGCCATAATTGCTGGAATCGGACTGGTGACGTTCGCCCCTGAGACGAACCGAACCATCCGGTTGTAGATGGGTGCAAGAGTCTGCACCACCGAATCCTTCGCTCTACTGACGAGCCCGATACCGTAGATAAGTCGCGACGTGACGATTGCTGATCCGATACACAACAGAGAATCGCGTTGCCCTCGCGGAAGTTTAGCCCAGATCATCTTCAAGATCCGCAGTCTAAAGTGGCACGTATTTTTGACTACCTTGCAATGGTGTTTGAAGGACAGCGACCGGTCAAGGTTGACGCCAACAACTTTCAGTTGATTCGTCCTCGGTACAGCTGTACGGTCCATTAATATATCGTTGCTGGGTTCTCGACGGGCGTTGGGACTGCCGTAGAAATTTTTTGATTTTGTCGCGGAAATTGTGAAGCCGACGCTTTTCGCCCATTTGTCGACAGCTTTCACTGCAGCCTGTAGATCTCTATTCAGACGACGCTCCTTACTCCTTCGTACCACCAGCAAAATATCGTCCGCATAGAGAAGCACGGCAACAGTATGCGGCACCACTCTGAAAATCGGCTGCATCGCTATAAAGAATAACGTGACATACAACACTGACCCTTGGGGGACTCCGTTCTCCAATGGCATTTCACCAGATATATGTTCTTCCACGTTCACCCGGAAAGATCTGTCGGTGAGGAAACTGTGCAGTACGTTGAACATGCGCCCACCCAAAGTGCGCAAGATACCGTACCGCCAAGTGGTATCGTACGCTTTCGACAGATCAAGCGATGCAATCAAGCAGTGTTCGTCCCGATTTGGCAATGACCTATCCAACTCTGCCAAGTATGTATCGACGCCTCTCCCAGCTCTAAAGGCGTGCTGCCTCTTATCCAGTCGTCCATTCGACTCCAACTCAGTCGTCAATCTGCGCTCCACGATACGTTCGAACACCTTTGCGATGCAGTTGGTCAAAGTGATAGGTCGCAAAGCAGCAGGTCCAGATTCAGACCAGTTTGGCTTCGGAATCGGCACTATTATTCCGGTTCGCCAGCTGATAGGGTAAACGCCACTACGCCAGATTCTGTTTAGAAGCTTCAACAGCACGATTTTGACGGATACAGGCAGACGTCGGATCATCGGATACCCTACCGAGTCAGGACCTGTAGAGACACTACGTCCTTTGTCGAGTGCCCACAGAAGCTCATCCAGGGTGAAGTCCGCGTTATATATGTCGTCGTTGTCCGGAAGAAAATCCACGCGATCCCGTTCCGCTCTTTCCTTCGCTGTTTGAAACAGTTGAGGATAGCTTGAGGTCGCCGATCTCTCACAGTAGTGCTCGGCCAGTTCTTCTGCTACTTCTTCTGCCTTCTCCGTGTAGCCATCGGGTCGCTTGATAACCACCTTGCTGATTTGTCGTTTGCCTCTAAGGGTGTTTATCGTCCGCCACATGTCTGCCGTTGTGCTGCCAGGTGATATTTTTCGGACAAAGCCCTCCCACGAATGTTCCTTAGCTTCCTTCACTACCTTCTTAGCCGCTGCCTTCGCTTCCTGGAACTGCTTCAAAACATCCGCTGTGTCCGATCCTGCTGTTCTGCTGCGCTTCAGTGCTCTCAGAAGTTTTCGACGTCGCTTAATCGCTGTTTTTACTTCCGGGCACCATCACGGTACCGATTTGGTACCAATTCGTCCTGATGTTCGAGGAATGCTAGCGGTTGCTGCTGATAAAATCCGATTGACGAACTCATCAACCCCAAATCTCGTCATCCGGTTTGATGCTGCTGGAGGTCAGTTGTTCGAACGATGTTCAATCTACTTGGTCGTAGAGCCATCTTCTCCGTTTCGTGGCGATCTGTGAGCATTCAGGTGAAGATACGGTGAGATCGAGAGATCTATGGCAGAAGATGCACCATTTGCTGGATCCACTCGCGTGTGTGATCCGTCATTCAGGATTATCAGCTGCTCCGTCAATGTCTTTTCAGCGATGTAGCGGCCAAGCGCATTCGATGCCGTAGAACCCCACTCACTCTGAACACACCCACACACTGTTTACACAAAAACCAATTCAACTGACATGAATGCATCCGCAGGATGTAAAATGTCAATAATAAAGAACAACAACAACAACAACTAAATGTACTATTATGGTTTGGTTCTATCTCTTTCACTCTACTCATAACTGAATATCATAAAAAAAAAGACAAAATGATACACTCTTTGCACACTATCAAAGATCATTGCACACAAAATCAACTTTGTTCAAATCAAAAAAAATACTAGCCCATCTGGTGGCACAAGCTTCTAAGAAAATTCTTTTACAGCGAACCACATTATTTCAATAGATTTCTTAGCCAGTTAGTCGTCTGTCACTTCGTTTGTCATAAACACTTCTTTTATCGATCTGTGTGCTGAAAATACCTGGGAAAGTCTTTATTCGGCCGTGGGCATACAAAGAGAAAGTCGACGGAAATAATCTGTCAATGTTACTTAGAACCTAATGCAATGTTCAGCTGGAAATGATTTCGAAAATCCAAGACCTCGAATCGTAAGTGCACCCAACACGACAGAAGCTTCGTCTATATTTCCATTATAATTCATGTCAATATTATCAACAATATGTTCGGGTGGTCATCAATACAGAGCAATCGTGTGGCCTGTTCATTGGCATCTTTTGTCAAGGTGTTGTGATTTGACTCTGAATATGCCAGCAGCCACAAAAATGTTAGTGAGGAGCGGCTCTGTATTGATGACCCCCCGAACATATGATTGATAATATTGACATGAAAATATTGATTGTAATATGACGAATCGTGTACGTGTATAAGAAATGCTCCTCGTGTTTATTAGCGAAATTCACATCAAAGATTGATTAATTGTGTAGGAAATCAGTTTGGCACGGTATTTGTGACCAGCATACACCTTCCGGTCGTATGAAACAGGTCAAAAACTGTCCAAATCCGTAGATAAAAATTTTTGGTTTTGAATTTCTGCATAGCAAAATAGTGAACTTTTCGTGAACATTAACGGCAAAGAACTCACCAACACTGGGAGACCGTGAGTTCCTGCCCACCTGTCATCTCCCATCTCGGTTCTTCTCCGTCTCTCTCTCTCTCTCTCTCTCTCTCTCTCTCTCTCTTCGCTTTACGTGCACACGATAGGGAATGCTCCTGCTCTCCGTTTGAGTGTTCGTGCACAGCGAACAACGAAAGTTTTCTCCGCGTGCATCGTGTTTTCTTCTCAGCATGTGGGTCAACACATACACTTTCTAGGTACACGTGCGAGGAGAAGCCTAGCCTATCAGGATAACCCTTTAAGTTTATTAGGGACAAACAAATATTTGAAATAGTGACAGAATCAAAATTTAAAAAAATTCAAAGATTTCGTTTTCGAGTTTTTTTATTTATTCACCGGGGGGATGTTTCACAGAGTCTTAAACTATGTTAGTCATTGATCAAGTTTCCACTTCCTGTAATTACGGCCTCCACACGCTTCTGGCATGCACGGTAGGTTCTAATAATGTAGTCTGGATTCATTTCTCTCCAGGTACGGGTCAATGTTTGTCTGCGGCTTGCTGTACTCGCGTGGCGCTTAGAACAGGCCTTGGCCTTCATGACTCGCCATATTGAGTAATCCAGCGAATTGGGCCTGAATGGCCGCCACATATCCTTCGCCCAGAACGGAAGATGTTCCTGCAACCACTTCTGAGTGGCGGTTCGAGGTGTGGCACGGAGCCCCATCTTGTTGAAATACAACATTTGGCTTCGGACCGCACTGTTCATTGATCCACGGAACAACATACTTACTTAAAATCCCGATGTAGACCTCCGTGTTGACCTTGTCGCCTTCTGGAATGAACACCGGGTCAATTTTTTTGCCATCGGAAGCCACCAATCCAAACACCATAACGCTAGCAAGATGCTTGGTCAGATACACGTTCTCGTGCTCGTCGGCCACGTCTTTTACCGGAAGAGAACTAATATACCGGTCGGTTCTGGAATTTGATACGGGATCGACGGTAAACATGCTCTCGTCGGTGAACAGGATTACCGGATTTTTTCGCTTAAGGAAGTTCAAGATTTCCTTGCATCGTTCGACTCGTAGCTCCCGGATGCGGTTGGTAATCATGTGAGTTTTTTTTCCTTGCCCTCGACTTCGCCCCATAATCTTCCTTTACGATCTTCCATGCCGTAAAGTCACTGATCCCGCGTTCCTTTGCCATTTTCCTTATTGAACGCACTGGATTCACCCGAATCTTCCTTTTGATAGCAGCGATAACCCTCGGAACCCGAGCTGACCTCGGACGACCTATGGCCACCTTCGCGGATAGTTGTCCTTTCTTTTCTCGATCAGAAACCCTTTTGACGGTCCACAGGGGTCTTTTTGAGACATTTGCGCGTGGGACAAATCACGAATACGCTGCCACTTCGTCATGGTGCCACTGTCAAACTAACTAAATCGTTTTCTTTTATACATAGCCTACTACAGTATGAGCTACATACCTTTTTGACGTTTAATCAACTTTCTCTATATAGCACACATGGATGAATGCACGGTTTGTTTTCCCACTAATCTGTTTCCCACTTGCTCGCACTCGTTCGCTCGTACAGTAGTGTGCATCGATTAAACGTCAAAAAGCTCTATAGGTTACGTGCATGCAAAGAAAACCAAGACATTGTATGCACAGATGAAACATGAACCTTATTTGTACGATGGTGCAAACATTATCACGCATACGGTATTTGAAACACTTCACGCCGCCGGTGGTGTAGTAGTAAGCGTGATTACCTCTCACCCCAGCAGGCCTGGGTTCAATCCTAGTCGGTGGCACCGGGATGTTCTGAGACATAACATCTCTGATCTCACTCGATAGGTAGGGTCCAGGTGTGGGAGCTACCTCCCTGGCGTCAAGGAAAAAAGTTCACCAGGCCCAACACCTCTATATAAATAGTTTTTCTTATTTTTCCTTTCGAATCTCATTTATTTTCTAAAAATACCTCGGTTCCGGTATTTTACCGATATAACCGGTACTGAATCTCTAGGTACCGAAATACCGGTACTCGCAAAAAAGGTTCGGTACTGATAACCATAGTCAAAACAAAGCGGGCCTATACTGGTATTTATTTTGAAAGACCTTATAATTTTTCATCTGGCAACCCTGTCCAGCTTGGTTTCATTTTGTGTCTACTCATTCTCTTTAATCTTCCATGGCTCACAAAAAGGCTGTGCTGCAAGATTTCCGGATCCGATTCTCATTCAGGAAAACAAAAAAAAAACACACACACAAGAGATGATGACCACAATCCGTAATCATCCATCGGGATTGCACGATGATGGTGGTTGGCTGTTATCCTGCTCCTGTTCATGTTCGCCGCCAGATGATTCATGTACACATACGTCCAGTTCTGTTTTGAACATTAGGGTGGTTAAAATGACCCTTTTCAGTTTAAATATTACATGTCTGATCGTCATCGCGGTAATTGAGCCCACTTTTACTCAAAGAATGCGAAAGGTTCAAGGTAAACCGGTCGATTCTTTTCGTCATTGTTCTCTTTGAATCACCACGAGTTTGTAATTAAAATTCCGGATATTTTCGACGCAATGTCTAATGAATTACTAGCACCGAAAAAGTCGATGAAATGGAAACTTTTTCATTGTTTTACTTGCAGCCAGAAACTGATCCTTTGAATGTTATATCAAATTTGGTATGGGAAAGCTTAGCAATATCAATATATACCTCATGTACTTATAGCCAACTTTATTAGCTACTGCTTTTCTGAACTTCACTCTTCAAATTAATGGTAGTGGAAATTTGCAATTGATCGATTTATATAGAAGCCAATATGAGTTTAAATTCTGCGTGAACGATCAAAATCTGAAATGGAATCGATTGCACTGGGTGAAGTAAGATGGATGATTGGAACCACCCTATCGAACCTATTTGCCGTGCTCTCTACATATGTGACAATAACGGTCGAATGTGAGGTTTTGCATCCAGAGCTTAGGCTCTTCTGTGGCTTAGGCCCCAACGTCGGTCCAGAAATCCCGCCGTATCGTACCTTTGAGAGACAATGGAATGTGAATTCAAACGTCACGGTCGGACACGGAACATTATTATCGATGCATTCGGCTTTTCTATCGAAAGAAGTGCTGGGAACGTGCTTGATTGAATAAAAGTGAGATTTTCAGTCGATGGGAGACTTTTTTTGTGTGTGTGTACTACACACTACTACGGTTATAGAATGCCGGGTGACAGCTATTACGAATGACAAATTATTATGGTCGTCTCTGGGATTCGCTTTTTTCGTGCCATCCTTCCAACTAAGAGCACACTCCCCGGTTGGAAATCGATCGAATATGGAGCTTGATGGTTTAATAGTCCATTTTCTTTGTGTCGATGTGAGCTGATCTATATTCAACATATGGCGTTTGGGGCTGGCCATACACGAGAAAATGGGAAAATGGAATATTAATAACCGTAAATCATTGCTCGACTCGACTCGACTCGTCTTCCTCTGCTGGGCCCTGTGAGAAATTCCATGGCTGGGAAACGGTCACTATGTGGGTCATCCATTAATACGATTTTCCTAAGCTAGAACTAATCGATGGAGTGGGAAAGTTGACTCCATACCAGATATCCTCTTCAAGGAGCCACCCCTACTAGGACTCTTTAAAATGCAATCAATTTACCTTTTCTCCTTTTTTGCTTCTTCCAAATGCATCGTCCGTGCTCCGCTGGATGGATCACCAACCAACGGAATCATGCTTCACCGTCGCCGTAATCGGATGCCAACCCCACTTGAACGTAATTAAACGCCCGGACTTCACCTTGGGGAACGACACTGGAATCCTGCAAATGGCATCTTGTTCTTTGTCATTTAAATGCATGAATTAAATGCAAACATCCCTGCACAAAAAAAAATTGTCATCACCAGGAACCGCTACGGATGGAGTGATTTCTCCGAGAGTTTTCTGTTCACAACGTCAAATACAGGTAAGTGAGAGGGATGCCCGTTGGGGAGGATGTATTTTATTTCTTTTTTCGGTTGTTCAAAACGAGATGTAATGTAGAAGCAGCACTCGCTTCAGTGCTTAGGGGTTTACATTCATTGAAATGAGGTTGAACAATTGGAAGCAATGTTTGCGGAGCAAAGTGAACAATTGCTGTAGAATTTGGTTTCGGGCAAATAATCGTGCAGGAGCAGTGCTGCAATTTATCATTGCCATTGACAGACTTTCGCGTGATATTGACTAAATTGTTTTTCACTTTCCCCAAAAAAAAAAACCTTTGTAAAAATCTCATTCATTTTTTTCGTCAATGACAAAGATTAACCTTTTAGCTAAAAGTGTAATTTCGTGCATTTTCAGTCACATTATAGTTATCCAAGCAGTTCAGGACGTAGACGTTTGTTCACTTTGGCGGCTGCATGTAGTTGCTTTGCTCAAGTAATTTAATTTCGCTACAAATTTAGCAAATAAAAAAAAAATCTGCACATGTTCGTCACTGACAATTGACATGGTTTGCCTTGACGATGACTGTTAGCTCAAATGAGTGACCAAAGCAGAATGTTGAATATCGCCGGGTATTTTCGAGATTTTGTAGCACTGCACACTGGGCAAAAATTGACAAAACCGCGACTAAATTGAATATTTCGGCTGCCAAACGGTTTCAATCAACGTGTTACACATATTCTAAGAGGAAAAATTCTGCTGAAACGGTCTCGGTGTCGGTCTCGGTCGGTAGTGGTTTCATTGGCCAGAGACTTTTGCGTACCGAGATAGAGGGCCGGGATCAACCCGAGTTCCCGGTAAAGTAGGAAATGCTGCTATCTATCGACATAATTTTACACTTTACTTAACGTATATTACTGGAAATTGATAGTACTAAGTAGCGGTGCCGGTGGTGTAGTGATAAGCGTGATTACCTCTCACCCCAGCAGGTCTGGGTTCAATCCCAGTCGACGCCGTCGGGATGTTCTGAGGCATAACATCTCTGATCACGCCTTGCGAAGGGAAGGGAAGTAAAGCCGTTGGTCCCCGGTTCATGAGTTGATGGGGCGATAGGTAGGGTCCGGGTATGGGAGCTGCCTCCCTGGAGTCGGTAGCGGAAAACAAGATCGACGGAAAACAAACCAAAGAAAAAAAATGAAAATCAGTGACTTTGTGAAAAATTTGATCAATATCACGCGAAAGTCTATCAATGACAATGACAAATCTCAGCACTGGTTTCAACACATTGAAGGGTATAAAGAGCAGGACCTTCCAATTAGAGTCGGATCCAAGGCAAGAATGACAACTGTATCAAAATCGCATACTTCATAATTTCTCAATAGTGATGGAATAATACGACATGCACTAAACGAAGGAACGGGGTAAACCACGCTAAATCAAATAACTGGTCGCAGTGGATTTATGTCTGGACTATACCTAGAGCGGCCAATGTGGTCAATGATCTTTAAAATCTATAGAAAGCCTATTGATGAAAACCCATGAAGACAGAGCTGTCGCACGGCATGTTATGAGCTATTAATAGATCTGACCGCATTCAGAACCCTCTATCAGAACGGGTTCGAGGGAAATGGCCATATCTCGGTTGATCATAGGCTGATTTTAGTTCTTGACATTTCATTTGCATTGGAAACGGTTTTTCGCATTTCGCATTTTGGATCTATAATTTAGCCATTTTTCAAGAAATTTCTTGGATTTTATTCCAAGGCTAATGGCATTTTCTTAATGACAATATGGCGACAGAGGATTTGACAGCAGGCAAGAAAAACAACAAGCGCAATTTCTTAAAATGTCTAATGCTTACATTGGATGAAAGCAGAACAGAAAAGCATAATGCATGATTTTATTTCGATCACTTTACGGTTATCATCCTCCGACTCCAGATAATTATATATTTCCTCTTCAGGAGTCATTTTTGGTGTAGTAATGTGTCCATGGTTTGCGTTGGAAGTACCGAAAAGTTTTGATTCTTTACTATGTTGTAAAAATAAACTGCCCATTTACACTTCCGACAAGTTGCAACTGAATGCTTATAATTGTTTTAAAATAACTGTTTCATGGCCAACTTGTTTTATTGCGCTTACTTATAAAGCAAAATAAGGATTTATTATTGGGTTTTATAAAAGCAGTTCATATTACCTTTATACTTACAATTCAAGGCAAGTATGATCGTGTCATGATCAGTCCCGCTCCTGATTCGTCCATTGGTTCTAGCGCTTTACCAACCCTCAACTATGCATCGCCCGCCTGTCACCTGAACACTCTGGGACGCATTGAAGTTATCACTGCGGAAGCCCCTTCTTCTCCCGCCACAGTCGAGTTAATCCAGTCATCGTCCTGCAGTCGTCCTGGACCTGTGTGTGGGCTTGGAGAAGGGGTCTTCTAGCCCGCAACTCAAGGCAAGTATGTTCGTGTCATCACCAGTTCTGCTCCTGATTCGTCCGTTGCTTCCAGCGCTTCACCGCCTCAAGAGCAACAACCGGCTGGTTCGACTGAAACGTCATACTCCAATGGCTTCAAATCCCACATCACCGATGGGACATACAGCACTGCACCGGATCTTGCTCACCACGTTTTGGAATATCCCAGACCAGAACGCTCTGCCTGCTGCCTCAAGGAAGCCCCTGAGCCACTCAACCCAGTCGCGCTTGCTGATTCCTGTCATTGTAGTCGTTCTGGCCCTGTGGTTGAGAATGGTATATCACTAAGTATTGGCGCTATGTATCTACCTCCAGACTGGAAATCTGATTCGAGCAGCATTGCAAACCACATCAGTTCGATTGGTACCGTGTTCTGTCAACTAGAACAATACGACCTAGCTCTGGTGTTTGGTGACTACAATCAGTCTGGGCTCTCATGGAACGTTCCTGCAAACGATCTTCCTAGCATTGACTCTAGTAGCACGCTTGTCTCTAATCGGTTGTGGAAACTTCTATACGACTTATTTCAGTCATAAACAAGTTGCTGCAACTTATTGTAGTGGAAGTGTGCTACTCGGGGATGTTCTTCGCTCGAACATGCCCGCATCCTGCTGTGCTCTCCTTGATGGTTTCAACCTGCATGGCTTAACGCAAATCAACTCGATACATACTGAATAGCAACTCTCGGCTGCTTGATCTCGTTCTGGCGAACGAAGCTGCTGGACTGGAATGTTTTATCCTAGAAACCCCAGAGCCTTTGATTGGCATCGACACCAATCATCCTGCGTTGGAAGTTTCCATCAACCTATCTGTTCCTGTTCGCTACGATAACCCCCCTGTTGATGTACATGAGCTCGACTTTCGTAGAGCAGATTTCGTCGCGCTGAGTCACTCGCTTGTCCAGACAGATTGGCAGTTCCTTGACACGTGTTCATCTATTGATGAAGCCGTCAACTACTTCGCTGAGGTCGTTGGCCGGGCAATAACTGATTCGGTCCCATTGAGGAGACCCTCTCCCAAACCCGCATGGTCCAATGCTCGACTACGGAATTTGAAGCGTCTGAGATTGAAGGCCCTCCGTAAATACTGTCGTACTCGTAACCCATTCACCATACGATTATTTTCAACAGCGAGCAACGAATATCGCACACATAACCGCATTCTTTACAAGAGCTACACAAGGCGTGTGCCGGCTTATTTACGGCTTAATATAAAGCAGTTCTGGTCATTTGTGAATACCAAACGAAACGAGGAGGGGCTACCAGTCGAAATTCACCTGGGTGATAGAATCGCCAGCAATTCCCTTGAGAAATGTAATCTTCTGGCAGAACATTTCAAAATCATTTTCAATGACACTACGGCTTCGTTGTCCCAAGTTGTTGAAGCGGTGAGGGACTTTCCCAGTGATGCTTTCAATTTTTCGATTACCTCGGTTACAGTAGACCTCGTCGAATCCGCCATCAAGAAGCTGAAATTTTCTAATGCTGCTGACCCTGACGGGATCCCCTCAAGCATCCTGAAGCGATGCTGTTCAGAGCTTACAACACCGCTTTCGAAGCTGTTCAATATTTCATTACAGCAGGGGGAGTTCCCTACGCGTTGGAAATCGTCATTCATGTTCCCGATCTACAAGAAAGGAGACAAGAGAAACGTCGAAAATTACCGAGGGATCACATCATTCAGTGCCTGCTCTAAAGTTTTCGAAATCATCATCAACGACGCATTATTCTCTAGCTGCAGAAATTACATTTCTACTGACCAACACGGTTTTTATCCCAAGAGATCAGTTCCAACAAATCTAGCTCCGTTCATTTCTTTATGTCTTCGGAGTTTGGAAGCTGGTCCGCAGGTGGACGTTGTATATACAGATCTTAAGGCTGCATTCGACCGGGTTGACCACTCCATACTGCTAGCTAAACTTGAAAACTCGGTGTATCCTCGGGTTTAACTCGTTGGTTCAAGTCCTATCTGACCAATCGGGAACTTTGTGTTAGAAACCGGATCAGAGCAATCGGACTATTTTACAAACAGCTCCGGTGTTCCAGGTAGGTAGTAGGTAGCAACTTGGGACCATTGCTATTCTCGATTTTTGTTAATGAGGCCGGACTGATCCTTCCAACTGGTTGCCGATCGTTCTACGCGGATGATGTGAAGATCTATGTGATTGTTCGTAGCTTCGCCGATTACTTGCGGCTTCAGCACTTAATCGATACTTTCGAAGAGTGGTGCTCAAGAAACTATCTCACGTTCAATGTACAAAAATGTAATATTATCTCATTTCATCGCAAGCTGGCATTCAACTATACGATAAATCACCAACTTCTGCAACGTGTGGACAATGTTCGTGACCTAGGAATCACGCTGGACTGCACCTTAACATTCAAGCTTAATTACTCGGGCATCGTTGCGAAAGCTAACAGGCAACTCGGGTTCATTTTCAAGATCGCTGACGAGTTTCGCGATCCTGCCTGTCTAAAAGCTCTATACTGCTCTCTAGTGCGATCGATATTGGAATTCAGCTCGGCAGTATGGTGCCCGTATCAAGCAGTTTTGATAGCGAGGATTG